TTGTTGTTATTATCTACTACTTAATGAAGGAAATCAAGTTCATTTTTGATGGAATATTTACATAAATGAAGCAATCAGATCAGGGTGGTTTATAAAGAATTTTTCTCAGGATAAGATATTAAGTCTATTTTGTTAGCTGTCAAAAGGGGTCAAATCTTAATTATTCTTGGCAATAGGAGGCACAAAGGGAATCATGATTGACATCCACACTCTATGTAGGGGGAAGACTGGCTGGATTCAAAGTAATTGAATTGACACAAATGAAACAGAATGTTGATATTTGGAATTTCAGAGTTGGAGTAATATTAATTTTAGGGCTTTACAACTTTAAGCACAGAAATATAAAGAAAATTTTAAAAAACTGTATTAAACCACATTCTTAGAAATAAGTTGGGACCCCTCCTCCACTCCATTGCACGTACGTGTGCACATGTGCAGAACACACACACACGGTACCTCAAAAGGTCTGCAAATGACTCAATACTAGGCATCTGGTAAATATCATGAAACATATTCATTTTCCTCAATAATCTAAGACGAATTCATGAGTGAGATATTGCATAAGACAAAGAGTGTGTCAGCTTTACAGACAAAATTTCTCCTCTGTTGGGTTACACGAGACATGTAAGTTAAACCAGGCTAGCACACGAGGATGAAGGAGAATGCCAAATATTACTGTCTGCACAATCTCACTGAGAAACTGGGAGCCTGACTGTCCTACGTCCTGCGAATTTCACAGCCACCCCTCATATTACCCCAGTTCAGATGGCGACTCATGGATTACGTCTGTCCCTGCACCTCATCACACTGATTTATGCTGGCTAAGAGGCAAAGATGGGGAGGGGTTCAGGTTTCTGCAGTGAAAGAGGGAGGCTGTAGATAAAAAGACTAACTGTGCTTAAAATGGCTTGAAGTATGACATTTTAGGGGAGAAATTACGGGATGTTTGATGACTTCTTGTCCTGAGGAGGAATTCCACTGAGTAACTCAGTTCTGCTTTCTAACTTCTTTCTCCATGTGCTTGTCAAACAGTCCTCTACCTCGGTC